AAAGTAACATTCAACAAGATAAATTTTTAACATTCAACAAGATAAATTTTTAAAATATTATATGCTTTTAAATCTTATATAATCTACTTGGGCATTGGTCATTGGATTTCATATTTTTACGGACTCCGATTTGTGTTCACAAATATATACCACAAGTAGGCGAGTCCTTCCTCTCGACCTGGTGGTTCAAGTTCATTCAACTCTCTCCCTTTTATTATAAATGTAAGTCTCTCCCTCTGTTTCACTGAATTGGTGTACTCTCCTTATGCTTCTTATATGTTGTACTTGTATTAACTTACAAAAAAAAAAAAAAAAACTAATATATAAGATTTGGAAATTTATTAAAATCCCTTGGAAATTTTCCCTTTTGATAACACGTGAAACACGGTTCTGGGTGTATTAACTTCTAGAAACTACTCCCTCCTTCATAATGTAAGGCGTTTTGGATAAAGTACTTTGTTTCACAATATAAGTCGTTTTCGAGTTTCAATGCAAATTATATATTATTTTAATATTTTATGATTATTTATATTATGTAGTCTCTTTTATGATTGGCTGAACTTTTAAAAAGTAGATCTTCTTAATCTGCGTGCTTTTACCTAAAACGACTTATATTTTGAAACGGAGGGAGTACTATATATGGTCCTTAATTTATTACTCCCTCCGTTTCGTTTTAGTTGTCGTTTAAGGTTTTTTCACACAAATTAAGAAAAGCATTAAATTTTCTGTTTTACCCTTTATTAATATATTTTATAAAAAATTTCATTGGTCAAAACATTAAAACAATAGGGATAATACTGGAATTTTTATCAAATATTTGTATTGAAAACCTAAAACGACAACTATTACAAAACAAAATTTAAGTCCTAAAACGATAACTAAAACGAAACGGAGGGAATACAATTTTAAGAGACCTTGGAAGTCGTGAATCTAAAAATTGTCCTTTGACCAAAAAAAAAAAGCTAATCTAGAAAACGTGTACTAAATATAAAATAGAAATGAAAATCCAGAAATCGACAACCTAAAATATTTTCTTTCAACAAAACAGAAAGTGTTTGGCAAAAAACATATAAAATGAAGAAAGTAAAAATAAAGACTATAATGTTATATTGCTATAATCCCTAAACACTAACCACAATTCACAAACCTACTCACTCTCACTTTTCCTTTATTTGGCAGCTAATTTGGAATTTTTAAGAGTATTTATATTGGTAACTCTCTCACCAAAATCTCTTACCTAAAAAAAATAATAATCAAATAATAAATAATATTATTTAATTATAAGAATCTAAATTTTTTTGAGAAAGTCTCTCATTTATAAATTATTATAAAACTTTTATGTGAAAGATTACAGTGAGAGATTCTCATTGTACATACTCTAAAAACCTAATTATTGGATTTAAACACCCAAATTCACAAGTAAAGTGCTAATAGTTGTTAGTGTGTGACAAAATAACATTTTCCACATAAATTTTTTGAAATAAGAGGGAAAATAAAAAATATAGATTAGACTTAGAATGTCATCATCTCTTTTTTTTTTTTTTTTTTTTTTTTTTTTGTGAACAGAATGTCATCATCTCTTTATCACAATTATGGACCGTCTAATTTTTTTTGTTTGATAGGGACGGGCAATAACGTGACCCAACTCTATTTCGCTAGTACAAACGTAATTAATGTATAAGGCTATAAGCTAACTACAATTGGACACGTACCAAGTCTTTTAATATTACTAGTTTACTTTTTATATCGGCAAGTCTTTTTATTTTAGTCATGGCATGCAGAAATCATTCAACTGTTTTGTTAACTCAATACCGACTCAATGTGTGGTGGACACAAAAAAACGTGACACAAAAAACTTATGATCTATCGCTCGTAGTCGTGTACATTAACTTCGTATTTATACACAAAGGGACTTTTCTATTCCGTGTTGGAAAATAAATATCTAGTCGATGTATACTTTTAACATATTTAATTAATCTTATAGCATGATATTTTTCTTATTTTACTACCTTCTAAAATACATTAGTCGTTAACCCGTCGGGCATCATGCCCTGACTTGTATGCGGACGTTTACTTGGATGTCTATACGGTGGATACATTCTTGAATATATATATGAAAAATGGTCTCATAGCCCAAATCAAGTTTTTAGGATAAAAATAGCATTCATACCTTATTTTTTATTTTAAGAACTAATTAAATTAATTAAGACAATAAACAGAAAATAGCACCGAAATTGTGTTTTCCGGTGAGTTTACAATTGTGCTTTCCGGTAAAACTTCCGATCTCGGATTTTCAATTCCGGTGAAGATTATGATCTCCGATATTCAATCCCAATGAAGCTTCCGATCTCATAGCTTCAATCATGTCCTAAATCGATTACCATTTCTCTAATTTATTCTTCTTCTTCACAAATCGTGTTGAATGTGGAATCTGAGTGTAGTTTTAGGAATCGTGATGGTCTATGTGGTTTATGAGTATAGCTCTAGATTCATGAGCGTAGCTCTCGATTTTGTTGGTGTGGACATAGTTTGGTCCTCGATTTGATTAGCTTCTCTAAGATTTCAATTAAAGAAGAAGAGATTAAGCTTTCAGGCGATGAAGTCGGCGAGAATATTGGAGTTTGAGATCCGGTGAAGAGACGGAGACCTAGGGAACGAATGGTTCCATCAACACCTACGACAAGAGCTTATGGGTAAAACAATCACTCGTTGCTTAATTAGGTTAGATAGAATCTATGAAGCAATGATATGTTGCTTAGTTGGGTTAGATAGATTCGTATGTTGAAGCAATTTTAACAAGTTGAATTTTGTGAAATGTGTAGGTTTTTCAATTTTAGGAGCTGCTCTTGCTTGGAAAGCTGTTAAAGAATCTACATCTCTATACTATTAAAAGAGAAGTACAAATGAAAATAGATCGGGTTAAAATCAGAAAATTGACCCGAAATTCTGAAATCGGATCTTTGAATTTTTTTTGGAATATAAATTCGAATTAATATTGAAAAATCGAAATAAAATCAAATATTTATGGAAATCAAATAAAATCTGATTGTACTTATGGTAACTAATAATAAAAGCATATTCCGAACAATATTATACATTAATTACGTATAATAAATTTGTTCATATATTTTTGGGACTAATTCCATAACAACGTTTTTGTCATTAATTTCGCTCATTTTAGCCAATTATCATTAGTTGAAAGATATTTTATTTGCTTCTAAAGATTTCTAGAAAATTTATCACAAATAACCCATCTGTTTTATAAATTAAATTGATATTTTTATTTTGGTCGTGTAAATTAAATAGATATAAAATCCATGTAACTAATTTTAATTTAATTAGATTAAATCGAAATTATAATATTTTCATACTTATAGCTTACCAAAAAAGTTTAATTTTCAATTTATAAAGATTTATTGAATATGATTTTAGAATTATTCAAAAAGATGATAAGTATTTATTAAATTTTGTGAATCATGAAAAATAATAATTAATTTTTAGTCATTATACTTTATCTTTCAATCTCTCATCTAACAAATAAGATACATATTCTATTATTACTATGTCCAAACTTCATTTTGTTGTATGACTAAATAATATTCCCATTAGAACTGTCAAAGCGAGTTGATTCGTCCCGTTAAGTCCGTTTTGCGATAGACAAAAAATATTTTGACTTGTAGTTAGTCGGTCCGCACGACCCGCGGGTAGCATATATGAAATACAAACCCATCCCGCGAATGTATGCGGATTTGCGGGATTGTCCATGGATTTTGTTTAAATAATTTTAAAGTAACCAAAATTTAAAATACTACTAAAATAAATAAATAAATAAAAATACTATTAAAAGTTTGTTTAAATTACCACATGTTGAATAAATTATAATTTTATCAATAAATACTAATATGCGGGCTGATCTGCCAACCCGCGGATGAAAACCGATTAAACCTATGACACTGTGAATTAATCCATGTGGCCCGCTTATTTGCGGGTTTAATATATTTTTCCAAATCTGCCCCATAGTGAGATGATGTGGGAGAATGTTTTGTAAATCATAATTAATACGATGGGTATATTTATAAACAATTTTACATTTTCTCTACAATTCGTTATTATGAATATTTATAAGTATACTACACGATTCGTTCTACTAAAAAACACACACAATATTAAACGCAACGTATGTAAACCAATATTTTCCCGCGGTGGACCGCGGGTCCGATCCTAGTATAGGATGGTAAATGGGACACCAATGACACAAGACAATCAACATGCACTATCTTCTTTCATGTCTAAAGAAAATGCAGAAAGATTAGCTCTTGGATTATGTGAAATGCGTGGAGCTGCTCTTAAAGAGGAAAATGCTGAGTATACATGATGAGAGTCTTGTTCCTGCTTTGGTAAATACCAAATCTGAACCATTATCGTTTTGTGGAAGCTGAAGCTGTGTGGAAATAGTTTTGAGATCAAATAGATTGTTGAAGAAGATATTTGTTAAGAGTAAGAGAAGTTCGTCGTCGTCATAGATTTTGATCGTCGGCTTCTTCGGCTTGTAGTTTACATGCTTTACATAGGTAGAATCTGCAGCTAATGCTTCGTCAAGAGTTTTTCTATTGTCATACAAATTACAAATCCAAAGTTGGCTACATAGATGTTGGTTTCAGAAATTTAGGTAGACCTTCCTAAACTTCAAGGATGTCTTTCTAAACATTATGAAATCCTTCCTAAATTTTATAAATGTGTTTTTGAGTCTCTTTATTTATGGTTTGTAATGTATCAAAGATTACTCCATCAGTGAGGGGTAATGTACATACAAATTACAAATCCAAAGTTGGCCACATAGAGGTTGTTTTCAGAAATCTAGGTAGACTTTCATAAACTTCAATGACGGCTTTCTAAACATTCTGAAATCCTTCCTAAATTTTTTAAAATGTCTTTTTGAATCTCTTTATTTATGTTTTGTCAAAATATATCACATGTTACTCTATTAGTGAGGGATAATGTATCACAAACTCATCAATGTCCCAATTTTAAGAAGGTCTACCGAAATCTCAAAGAGTTCTTCCTAAATTATTTCATGTTTATATACATTTATTTCTATGCTATCTTTGAATGAATAGCTTGGCTTATTGGTTACCTGCTCTAGTACAAAAACCAATGCCTTGGGTTCAATTCCTTGTGAGGGTGTGTGTATACTTTTTTCTAATGAAGGCCTTCCTGAAATTCGAGAAATCCTTCCTAAATTTCTAGAGGAAGGATTTGATAAGCGTTTATTTGTTGATTTGAACTCATCTTCAACTAGCTTGTGTAGCTTGTCAAGCTTCTCCATAACTGACTCGCCTAAAGAAGATGGTCTCACTGCCTCCTTGTTAAAGAACAAATAAGATTTCATAGTAACTTCTTCCATCACAACTACAACTTCAAGTGATCCTCTTCTCCAATCTTCAGCTTTCATTTTGTAGCCTTTGCACAGAAGGTCGACTAGCAAACTCATTTCTAGATCATTTTCGTCTTCTGATGAGACTGTATCTTCAAGATCATCTGGTATTGAAGATAAGATGCAAATTACATTTAGCTGCACAAAATATAGAATGTTGAAGATATTAGTAAATAAGTTTTTAGGGAAGTCTTCATGAATTTTCAATAGTTATATCACTAACATCATATTTAGGAAGACCATCCCGAATTACTATAAATCCTCAGGAAGACCATCCTGAATTACTATAATTCTTTCCCGAATTAGTCTAAATAAGTTTTTAAGAAAGTTTTCATGAATTTTCAATAGTTATATCACCAACATCATATTTAGGAAGACCTTCCCGAATTACTATAAGTTCTTTCCGAATCAAGAAAACCTTCCCGGATTACTATAAATCCTTAGTGAGCAATGAAACCAGAATCACATTGTGAGAATCAATGAAACAAATTAATACACAACACCAAAGTCAAAACCACAAAACCAAAAAGAAATCAACAAAGACGTATATCTCCATTCTAGAATGCAAACTAAAACAACTCTATCAAACAAAGATAACAGACAATGACAACACAGAAACAAGTAAAAGTGATGAACTAATCTGATGCAAACTACGATTCACAAGCTATCTAAGAGAAGCTAAGGTTAACAAAAGAGAGCCTTAAATAGATGAATCTCTAATCAATTTGTGTTGCAGACTCATACAAAAAACACAACCATATACACGAACCATCTGTACCATTCTAGATAACATCTTATCATTCACCAACAAACGAAAATTGAAGAAAGATCACTTTCAATCCATAAGCATCATCAAATCAGTAAGTATACGCAGTTTAGCTAACAATTACCCACCTAAAACCTCAATTATTTCAAACACATTTGCCTTCTTGTTACAAGAAACCACAAAAAAAAAACGAAGAGTATTTGAAATCCCAATTTGATTCTTAAATTCAGATTAAGCAGGAGGTGATAAACAAACCAAACGTAATTTGACAGCCTTAAAACAACAAAAGCTGAAACAGTAAAATATTCACATAAATGGAAAACAGAACGAAGAGAAAATATCAGACAGGTTTCGTGGAGATAGTTTTTGTTGACAAACTAACATAATCATTGGAGACAAAATAGAAACATTGAGCAGTGAATGTGTCAAAAGTTTCCGATTTCATTTCATCACAAACAGATGAACAATAATTTCAATTGAACATAGACATGATACTCCTTTAAGAAGAGATCGAAGCAAAAAAATTCCAAATTTCATCAAGAAACTAACCAAGAACAAAAGTCAAAAGGCTAGGAGATAACACAGATCACAGAGAGATCATTACGTACCACACCAAGTACGTTGGTCGTTGGTCGTCGAGATCGGGAAGGCCAGAGATCGTTGGGTGCGACGGAGAGAAGTCTCTTTTTCAAATTGGGTGCGACAAAGAGAAGATGAGAGAAGGTCGGCGAGACTTTTGGGTGCGACGGAGGCGAGAATGAGGTTAGTCTCTTTCTCAAATTTTTTATTTTTTATTTTAATTAATGTTTAATTAAAACTTTTATGTGCTATTTTTGGAAGAAAAAATTTTTTTGGAGCCATTTTTGTTAATTGCCCTACATTTTTTTTTGAGCTAATTACGGAATTTAGCAAATATTCGCATAATCGGATATGTCAAATTCAACTCATGCATAAAGTCTATATTTTCATTTTAGAATTCTAATAAAAAAAATGCGTACAAAATCCATCATTCGTTATTTTCAAAATTGCTTACAGAATCAAATTTTCAAATATTTAGAAGTGTCAAACTTTATTTAACACATCTCATCATATAATCTTAACATGCTTTCAGTTATAAAGATCATCTCTTATTATCATATAATACATTACATTTAATCTCATGCCTGCTACAAATATTTTAAATATATCTGTTTAAAAAATCAAATTAGCGTATTTCTTACTTTGATCTTTTTTAATTATTAAATATTTATGATATTCTTTAAAAGATTAAGTTAAACTATTTTTAAATGTTCCAAATTAGAATATTTTAAAATTTTATTGTATTATATAAAATTATTAATTTCAAAAACAAATTTTATGAAATAAAAAATATATATTCAAATTGTTATAAGAATCATAACTCATTTAATGATATAAGAGCAACCCCAACGGGGGTATTTTAGTAGGTTTCTTGGATTTTAAATAATAAAAAGTAATAGAAATGGATGAAAGAGAAAGAGACAAAGTTCTAAAACAAGGATTTGTGGAAAGAGGTTGAGAAACTCAAGTGACAGATGGCATGATATAACTTGTCAATTTTGTTATTTATGATCAAAAATATAAAAAAATAAATTAATTCTATTAAAATAATTAAAATATTGTTTTTAAGAAACTGATAAGGATTTTGAACGTTGGAGTTGCTCTAATACATTATCTTTAACCCGCCAACTATTGTAATATTTTTAAATATATTGGTTTTGGAAAACCAAATTCGAGTAGCTGTAATTTTTAAATTTTTGACATATTAAATATTGATGATAATTTAAAAAAAAATATCAAGCAAAAATATTTTTAAATTTTCCAAATTGAAATATTTAAAATTTTATTGTATTATATAAAATTAAACATTTTCAAAAAAGAAATGTATGAAATTGAATATAGATATTCAAATTCTGACCTGTTAGTCAGTACAAATGAAAATGGGTCGGGTTAAAATCAGAAAATTGACCCGAAATTCTGAAATCGGATCTTTGAAATTTTTTTGGAATATAAATTCGAATTAAAAATGAAAAATAGAAATAAAATCAAATATTTATGGAAATCAAATAAAATCTGATTGTACTTATGGTAACTAATAATAAAAGCATATTCCGAACAATATTATACATTAATTACGTATAATAAATTTGTTCATATATTTTTGGGACTAATTCCATAACAATCAACGTTTTTGTAATTAATTTCGCTCATTTTAGCCAATTATCATTAATTGAAAGATATTTTATTTACTTCTAAAGATTTCTAGAAAATTTTTCACAAATAACCCATCTGTTTTATAAATTAAATTGATATTTTTATTTTGGTCGTATAAATTAAATAGATATTTTTATTTTGGTCGTGTAAATTAAATAGATATGAAATCCATGTAACTAATTTTAATTTAATTAGATTAAATCGAAATTATGATATTTTCATACCTATAGCTTACCAAAGAAGTTTAATTTTCAATTTATAAAGATTTATTGAATATGATTTTAGAATTATTCAACAAGATGATAAGTATTTATTAAATTTTGTGAATCATGAAAAATAATAATTAATTTTTAATCATTATACTTCATCTTTCAATCTCTCATCTAACAAATAAGATACATATTCTATTATTACTATGTCCAAACTTCATTTTGTTGTATGACTAAATAATATTCCCATTAGAACTGTCAAAGTGAGTTGATTCGTCCCGTTAAGTCCGTTTTGCGATAGACAAAAAATATTTTGACTTGTGTTAGTCGGTCCGCACGACCCGCGGATAACATATATGAAATACAAACCCGTCCCGCGAATGTATGCGGATTTGCGGGATTGTCCATGGATTTTGTTTAAATAATTTTAAAGTAACCAAAATTTAAAATACTACTAAAATAAAAATACTATTAAAATTTTGTTTAAATTACCACATGTTGAATAAATTATAATTTTATCAATAAATACTAATATGCGGGCTGATCCGCCAACCCGCAGATAAAAACCGATTAAACCTATGACCCACTGCGAATTAATCTATGTGGCCCGCTTATTTGCGGGTTTAATATATTTTCCCAAATCTGCCCCATAGTGAGATGATGTGGGCTCGACCCGCAGTTTTTGACCTATTTTGACTGCTCTAATTCCCATGAATCGTCTAATTTTAGAATTTTAAAAAACAAAATTCTATTTTGTAAATCATAATTAATACGATGGGTATATTTATAAACAATTTTACATTTTCTCTACAATTCGTTATTATGAATACTTATAAGTATACTACACGATTCGTTCTACTAAAAAAAACACACAATATTAAACGCAACGTATGTAAAACAATATTCTCTCGCGGTGGACCGCGGGTCCAATCCTAGTTAGGGTAACAATAAAAAAGGGAATCACAACACACAAAAGAGGAGTACTACTTGAATAACTTATTCCTACTACATCGACCGAGCATAGATGAATTTTGCTCTCTCTCTCAAATAAGCATTTTGAATGGGCCTTGTGAAAATAAAATATAAATTTGAGGCCTTTATAAGCTAATGAAGTTGATAAGAAGAAAAACATTTGGCCTTGTGCCGTCAGCAGAGCCCATAAACCGGCCTCACTTCTTGCCTTATATATAGGTTATAAAAATCTATTATTTGGTAATTAGATTTCTTTGTTACCATAACCATTTGCTCGCTCTACCTAAATTTCCAAAATTTAATATAAATAATTCAAGCGTCAACAATAGACGCTACACGCGAAGAATATTACGAGTAATATATAATTTGTGTGGAGCCCACCGTCACTATGCATGCATAGTAATTTATTTTTTTCTGCCTATATAAACGAACGAATTCGTTCGTTATAAATCACAATTCATACTTCAACAATAAGAAGTTATAAGAAATCTCTCTCCTCCTCTCATCTCTTTATTTTCAGTATCCCGATCCTTCTGCGGGTATAAATTCTTTCTCCATTATTTATATTTATATACACCATAAAATAAAGTAATTATTATAACACGTTATTAGCACGATCACTCTATGATCGCTGAAAAAAAAATACGGTATTATACCGGGCAATATGTCGCCTCGTTAAAATAAAAAATATGAGAAAAAAAAAAAGGGAGAAAAGAAAATTATATAAATAAATAAAAGAAACTATATGGTTGGCTGAGCCACCTGAAATTACTTCATGCACCATAATTAATTATTTTCTGTTAATGGTTGGCTGAGCCACCTGAAATTTTATTCACTGCTTTAAATATTTATTTCTGCTACCGGTCGGCTGAGCCGCCTTAATTTTATGCACTGCTTTAAATATTTATTTCTGTTGCCGGTCGGCTGAGCCGCCTTAATTTTATGCACTGCTTTAAATATTTATTTCTGCTATCGGTCGGCTGAGCCGCCACATATATATTTACTGTTTCTATGTGGATAATTCGTCACCATAATATCACTGTGAATTATTTGTTTATATTATGGTTTATTCACCTGTATAAATATTTTTATTTGAATCGATAATTTTTATCTGATTGATCTCTAATTTTTCAGATTAATTTTTGTTTAAATCTTTTTCGCCAACGGTCTCAAAGAAAAATTTCAAAATTTTTTCAAAAATTTCAAATCTTTCCAACGGCTAGGAATAGTATTTTTCAATCTATAAATACACTTATTTTCTCATTCATTTCATCAAAACAAAATTTTTTCATCTCTCTAAAAACTCTCTCCGAAAAAAAGAAGAAGAATTTTGAAGTTTTGAAGTTTTGAAGAATGTTTCGATTATTCTTAATATTTGTTTTTGGAATCATTATTATGTGTATTTATAATCTTTGCGTTGTAGATTTTACTCCGCAAGAATTTCGTTTGAACATTAGTTTATTTGTTTGTACGCTTTTTCTTTTTGTAATCGCTTGCATTATTAATGTAAACGGTTTATTTTAAATATGTTTTAAAATAAATTAAATAAAGATTTCTAATAATATTCCATGTTTTTATTTTAGAAAACAAATGGCAAACATTGAAAAGCTTAAGATCCAAGCGCTTCAAATCACTGGAGCAAATTACATAGCATGGACCACTGATGTGGAACTTCATTTAGATTCGCAGAATCTATTGGAGACGATAAAAGAGAAAAATGAATCACCTGCCAATGAAAAGGCAAAGGCGATAATTTTTCTAAGAAAGCATCTAGATGAAAATCTGATGCATGATTATGCAAATGTAAAAGACCCCGTGGAGTTGTGGAAAGCTTTAAAAAATAGGTTTGACAACCAGAAAGCAATAACTCTCCCACATGCCCTTGACGAATGGGCAAATTTGAGGTTCCTAGATTTTAACAAGGTAGCACAGTATAATTCTACCATGTTAAGAATCGTGGCTCAGTTGGAATACTGTGGTAAGAAAGTGAGCGAAGACGAAATGCTCAATAAAACCTACCTTACATTCCATAAGGAGCACTATGTTCTTGCAGAACAATACAGGAACTGCAAGTACAAAATGTTTTCCGAGCTGATTGTGGCGCTTATGATAGCAGAGAAGAATAATGAACTTCTCATCAAAAACCACAATGCTCGGCCTGCAGGAACCAAAGCATTCCCTGAAGTGAATGCAACGGATGTAAAAAATCCGGAGAAAAAGGATGTAAACTATCCCGAGAAAGGGAATCAATCATATCGGGGTCGTGGTGGTCGTTTTAATCGTGGGCGTGGAAGAAATTACAACTCACGTGGAAGGAGGTCGTTCAAATGGGTTCGTCCTCAAAATGATTCAAA